TATTCATTGGATAGGCTAGTTCTTTAGGATCAATAATAAACTCTTTAACTTTTAAACCAGGACAAGAATTTTCATAAACATTCGTTACTTCTCTTATGACTTTTCTTCTTAGAGACACCATATTGTCACTATAATCTTTCTCACAGGACATCATTACTAGTACACACTGGCTCTCATCCACAATCTCTACCAGTGATCCTACGCCAAAGCCATCAAACCAGTGAAGACCGTTGCTCCAAAATTTGCATTTACGACTCAATTTTTCAGCCAATTCATTGTTTCCTTTTGATAATGAAAACTTAAAAGCAAGATGTAATGAGAGGACATGGAAGTATCGAGGAGGAAAAAAATCATGTTCTCTAGTACACTGTAGACACCAACCAAACTGGTACACTTCACTAGTCATCTTCTTAGGTCTATCAGTAGACAAAAGACATGGAAAGAACAACAACCTTTCTCCTCTTCTTTGAGTCTCTGAGGCACTGTCTCCTGTCTCCTCTCTATCTCCTGCTATTAAGTTTGTCATTCTTAGGAAAGATGGATCACCGAATTCTTGACAGAGTTCCATGTTCTTCAGGAAACAGATCAACATGTCAGGATCATAATCAGGAAAGAGTTCAGTCAGACCAGACACACTAACAATACCAGTATTGCTAGCAATGTCAACATGTTCTTTGAATGTCTTTGGAGCAAAGAGAATGCCATCCACCTCAGTTAGTAGTATACCCTTATCCACAACAACCCATACCTTGTCTTCACTTTTAAGAACACTGATCAAACCAATTGACTGCAACGAATGAAGAGCATCCAAGACGTCTTCTCTCTCATCTGGTATAACATAATCTTTATTGTCCTTACCAGCAGACATTACATCAGAGAGGGTCAGTATATTCTCTTTCCTTTCCTCCAGTAGACCATACATCATGTGACAATAAAGACTCAAATTCCTTCCACTTGTACTACGAATGGACTCACAGGCACTAGACAACTTATTAAAGATGGAATCCACTCCACTCCCACCAAGCTTACGACAATCTAAAAAGACACTATCACACTTTTCCTTTACAATAATATCCTGTATTTCTTCTTTTCTCCTTCTCCTTTCAACAGGATTATTTATCTCATCCACATGACTGACTATTACAATAACATGGCATTGATTAAGAGCTTTCTGTGCTTCATTTCTCATAACTGTTACCCACTGATGAAGCTGTTTGATTGCTTCCTTCTCCAATATATTGACTACTATCAGGAACACACCACCAGAACCTTGTAACAGATTCTCAATGACAGCACTGTGACTGGAATAGTATTCTGAATGACCAGCAAAATCATGAAGAATGATGCTACCCAGTGTCCTGTGTTGTAGTTTATAAGGAATGATACCAGCAGTACAGGGCACTACCCCTCCAACATTTCTAAAGGAACCAAGAAGAGTAAAACTAGCTGTGTCCTTGATGACATGACTAAGAGTACTTTTACCAGCTCCAGGATTACCCACAAGGAGAACGTTAACATAAGAATCAATTGGATGAGATATTTTAATGTCACCAAACTTCTTGAAGATATGGATGACAGTATTATATCTTCTCCCTTTAGCTAGTTGTAATGGTGTCCTCCCCTCATTGTTTTTAGCCAAAGGATCACAATTACCAGTTGATAAAAAGTATTCAATAACTTCAGCTGTACTAACCCCAGCAGCAAAATGAAGAGGTGTCCATCCATCCTTATCAGGAGTCATTATATCACAGTTACACTCATTAATGAGGTACTTTACAGCATCTATGTGTTCAACAGCATGATGAAGAACAGTCTCACCACTATTATTAGTAGTCATTAGATTACAGTGATGAGTATTGATGAGGTACTTTATGACATCAAGTGATCCTTCACTAGCTGCAACATGTAGAATAGTGTTTCCATATTTATCAGGAGTCATTATATCACAGTTAGACTCATTAATGAGGTACTTTACAACATCTATG